GCCAACGTTTTAAGTTGTGTAGTGTGAACTAGGCTTTAGGCAAGAACTTCTGTCTATTAGTAACACATCACACATTTATAATGGATGGTAGATCCATCAGTTCACTTAGCTTCATATTTCGCCGAAAGCCCCGTGATATCGTGTCCACTGACTGGCATTTCTCCCACTTGTGGTTGGGCAGCTGTCCAGGAGTGAACTTGTCAGCACAGTTATAATAACCTCCATGTTTACAATAACAGCCCAACCCCCATTTGTCATTAGTCACCACTACATCCTGTAAGGAGTGAAATAATGCAGTAATTATGATTTGAATTACAATTTGAGACACAGTTTTAAAATAAGAACAACATTATGCATGGAGGACTGTTTACTGATCCTGGGAGAGTAACGTTAGACTAAAATGCCGGCAGTTCTGACTCACAGTCTGTAAGTACGTTTTCATTTAAAGGATTTGCCACTGATGATTCAAACGCGAGTTTAGAGTAGCACTTGTTGTTTGTCATTTCTCTGATCACAAATGCAGACAGGGTTTTATGTTTATGAGGTGCGATGCAACGCAACGCGTAAAAAGACAGTATAAGTCATTATAATTAGTAATTATGTCCCCACTGGATGCAACAAATGCTTAGTTTGTAATGGGTTTTAATGTTTTTGTCTCGTCGCTCCGGCCGGACACGGCATCAACAGTATGTGAGGGGCGTAACATTTCCGTCTCACGCTTGAGGTATTCGGCCAATCACAACGCATTGGATAGCTGGCCAATCACAGCACACCTCGCTTTTCAGACCGATGAGCTTTGTAAAAATCGACACGTTTAAAAAAAGCAGGGCATAGAGGAGAAACAATAATGTACAGTATGTGGAAAATAATGTTTTTTCACTTTAAACTGCATAAACACATTTCATTACACCAAATAATGTTCTTTTTAGCAGCATCATATGACCCCTTTAAATTCTTCAAATACATTTTTAACCCAAAAGTTTGGTTAGTCCATATTTGACCCAAAGTTGGGTTAAAACATCCCAGCATTTTTTAGAGTGTACAGCTGAGAGGATAACGATGACATGAGCTCTGCGGTCTTCCTATTGGCTATCGCTCCCGAAAGTCGCTCTTCATTTGCATAAAGTTGATGGATTCTGAGCTTTGTGGCATCGCTGGACACGCCCCATCCATCGCCAACGGCCGCTGTTGCACTTGTCACCGGAAATAGCCAGCTCTCCATTGAAATGAATGGGATCCTGGTGCTTTGTCGCTTGAAGTGTGAACGGGTCGGTGATTTGCCTCGCTTTTTCGCATCGCGCTCAGTGTGGAAAGGCCTTAACACTTCGTTAAAGTGACTTGTGGTGAGTCTGCCCTTTCTCTGCTCAAATCACTGTTCACAAGAGGACTGACCCTGTGTACTCTCTTGGATGTGCTTACAATTCAGTTCACTAGGGATGGTTTGCATGATTTCATAAGCTCATTTTGTAGTTTATCTTGTGACAGTAAACTGTGCTTCTCATCAAACAGATGTGTAAGGGGCTTTGGCAAGTGTTGCATTTACATTGCTGTCAGTACAAGGTGTTTCACTCTGAACCAGTACTTGTGATTCCTTAAAGGAGACATATTATGCCCCTTTTTACAATATGTAATATAAGTCTCTGGTGTCCCCAGAATGTGTCTGTAATGTTTCAGCTCAAAATACCCCACAGATCATTTTGAAAATGCCTATTTTGAGTGGAAGCAGAAACACAGTTTTTCGTGCCTGTCTCTTTAAATGCAAATTAGCTGCTGCTAAAAAACATCAGTTTTGGTTCTGATTATCATGTTTATCGTGCTGAAATCATGCGTTTTAAACAATATTAGTTTAAACTTCTGATATATGGTTTTCTGAGTACACATGTACAGAAAGCGGCTGTCACAGCATGTGAGTACTAAACTAAGTTCTCATTCACACACAAGTTTACGTTAAAAACGCATGAGTTACAAAAACAGTCGGTTATGTCTGTGAAGGTAAACAGCTGGGAAATAAATTTCATGTTTATTTTAGATTTGTGTGGCAGGCAGCAGCAATATACAGTAAATACATCAATAAATCCACTGCTCTGTTGCCTCCTCTGAGGCTGGGACTCTAAATAGTGTTCTGTGCTTGTCTGTGCAGCCAAAGACAGAACAGTTAGCATGTTTTGCGCAAACTTTCGCCATGGCATTAGAGCTGGTACACCGTTGTTGCTTGCGAAATCAAAATGACGGCACGTGGAAACTTACAGATTAAGGGGCAGTAATTTTATAATGAGATCCCTTTGCAACGTCACTAGTGGAGCAAAATCAGACACTTTTGCAGACGCTTGCAGAAAAAGGCTTACAGGGCTCTACGGATACTTTTCTTTTTAGGAGCACGGTCAAAAATTTAGGAGCAATCAGTAATCAAAAATTCTGATAAAAAAATTAACCTTCCCATTACGAGGTGATAGTTGACTCCTTAAAGTGATTTATAGGGAATTTAGTTTTTACCTTTGTAATGGCATTTTTCTAACTTTATTAAAAGTATCAAAATCAAAAATATATATTTATAAGCTTTTTAACATTTCTAATTAAAACAACAGAATAAAAACAAGTAGAATAAGAATAAGTTACCAATCAAATGAAATCAGTATTTTCAGAGATGGCACAAAAGAACACATAAGTGGCTTGAATGTGTATTTTCAGACGTTTAATGAGGCTCAGAGGTCGCAATGCAATTAAATTCATAAATTCATGTTGAGGTTAATGTTTTAAATATAACATTTTGAATATAGAAATGATTTAAATAACAGAAAAGATGCTTTAAAAATGAAACTAAAAATTCCAGCATGTAGCGTCAAGTCACTGATTTTATCACTGAATCATTCATTCAATTGATTCGTTCGATCAGCTGAATTATTCAGGAACGAAGTACGTGACTGTCTTTATGAATGGGTAACTGAATCATTGACTCACTAGATTCATTTAAAAACGCAGTTCATTCATAAACGAATCACACTCCGTCAACACTGTTTGTTATAATGAGAGGATATGTCTGTGATACATTACTCAACGCTGCAGAATCACGTACGTATATTAGAACATTTGAAGCTCCCTCAGCGCAAACATAAATATGCTGATCGGGTCAGTCGCAAAGGTGCTCCTAAATATTATTTCCAAGTCGCACGCAGTAGTTTTCAGTAGCAAATGCGACTGAAATGGTCGCACTGTAGAGCCCTGGCTTACCAAAACAAAGTTACTGGGTTAATCTTTTTCACGTTTCCTTGGTTGGTAGATGCACCAGGGACCTGATTATAGCACTTAAAACCTGGAAAAGTCAGATTTTCACATCACCACCTTTAAGAGAATCTGCCTTAACTGTAGTGAGAATATCAACCCTGTCTGTGCTCTTCTGCTCTCCCTCAGATGCAGTGTCTGTGTCACTACCAGAAGTCATAGTGGTAAACAGTGCACAGTCAGGGAACTCATTCTGAGATGGGAATCACTTTCAAGTCATAGTCAAATTTATTTGTGTAGCATATCATACCATCATACAATACATAATTTCCCAAAAACTTAGGAATGCGTTTTTACAGTTTACCTCATCAAACACAAGATAAACGTTCTCCTCTGGCCAGATGAAACCAGCATGGTGTGGTTTAATTCCAGGCTGCAACGCATGCTAGATTGAGCAGAGGACTCGTCTGGTTCTCGTGGTCTTGTGCCGATGGCCGACGAAGTCTTCACAGGGGATCTGTCTCTAGGGTTCGTCTAGTTGACATGGTCTCCGCTGAAATTCAGGGCTGTAGTGGTCGTCTCAAAGTGCTGATCCTCCATCTGGACTGGATACAGACTGGATCCAGGTGACTGCAGTGACCATCTGATCTGGATACGGACTGGATCCAGGTGACTGCAGTGACCATCTGATCTGGATATGGACTGGATCTGGGTGGATCCTGGGTGTAGCAAACATCAACAAAAACTACAGACTGGATTACTGAAAATTAACATTCATTCTCTGCCAGTAGGAGGCGCTTTTGGAACATCAGAAACATAGAATGAGAAAAGTGTGAAAAAATATAGCTTATATTGATAAGGAAAGTCCACTGATTAGTTACTAGCGTAAGCCTGTGTTCAAAGGCTGTCTAATTCTAAACTTTAAAATGCATTTATTTTTAGTTATTTTAACTACAAATTTAAATAAAACTGAAAAAAATAAGGAAAAGGCAATTATACATTTACACACACAAGGATTATATCAAACAAAAAAGTAACTGCGTATGTGTCCTCTACTTGGTTTCTTCTCATAAATGAGTAAGAATTTAGTTATTTTAACTACAAATTTAAATAAAACTGAAAAAAATAAGGAAAAGGCAATTATACATTTACACACACAAGGATTATATCAAACAAAAAAGTAACTGCGTATGTGTCCTCTACTTGGTTTCTTCTCATAAATGAGTAAGAAACTGTTTCTCAATATTTAATTACAGCTTCAGATGCATGATATTTTCATCTCCTTCAAGCAAGATACACAAAAAGCACGTTCAACTCAGACGGTTGTCGTGGTAATAAACACCGTAAACAGCAACCGTTCGCGTGTCAGCACTCGATGCGCATCTCCTATATGAAAAGCATTTTAGGGGGCCCTTGGCTTTTGGGAGCCCAAGGCAGTCGCCTACCTTTGCCTAATGGGTAAGTCCGCCCCTGAAGGTAAGTACAGCAACAGGATTACTGTGTATTTAACACTGACTCTTGCTCGTGTTCCTAGTTCATTTAATTTAATTTAGACATTTAATTATTGTTGTGGAGGAAAAATATACTTACACTGCATACCTCAGGTCTCTAGCGACCCTATACACATTTTACAAAAAATTTTATCAGAAAACAGACATTCTTTTATCCTTTTTTTTAAATTGTATTTTTATATTGTTTATAATGAATAGATTGATGAATATTAAGAAGGTTGATGTCTGACTTTAAGAAATGAATTAGGAGGAGGTCAATGACATCCCGGGAACAAATAATAAAGAACAAATAATTTGACAAGACCACTCAGGTCCCTGAAAGTGTTTAAGGCTGTTCACTTAAAAGCATAAAAATATTTATTCACACAACTGCCACAACACATTGAAATCTGTTGTGGCCTCATTGTCATACAGCAAAATATGTTCATAATCCATAATTAGCCAGTGCAGATTTGTACTAAACCCAAACATAATGTTTGACAGCTTTCCCAGCGGTGTAATTTTTCCAATACAAATTAATCTTTTAATTGCACCAAATAATTAACCATCTTTTCGAACCACAAATGATATGAGGAAGAAGTGACTAAACCGGTAGTTTGTAACCAGTTTCATTTGGTAAGCATTCAAGTGAAACTGTGAAAATGAATCTACAACAGAGTGCCATTCTCTGCAAGCTGCTTTGCAACATTCTGTTTATCATCTTGTCCAGCAGTACTAGCACTCGCCTCCGCTTCATCTCCTTCCACTATAAACACAGGCCAGTCAGAGTCTCTAGTGCCCTTCTCCATAGATTCAGACTGAATGCTGAGGTTCATGGAGGAGGGATCCTCATTGGTTGTAGTAACAAAGGTGCAGCCATCACAAAGTCCAAATCGCTTCATTCCCTGGGACACAATGCCTGAGAACACTCGACGACAGCCTTTGCACACAATGGGCCAGGTGGAGCGATGGACCTTCAAAACGTAAATATACATTAAAACATTTTGATGAGAATGACTCATTCTGTATACTGACACATGAACAGTATGGCTGTCAATTGATAAAAATATTTAATAATCCATTTAAATGGTTTTTTTAAAATGTACTGCATTTGTATTAATGCATTTTTTAAGGAAGCAATTTCCAAAAATGTATCACTAGGCACGCAGCAGTCAATTCATTAACATAGTTGCTTTCATAGGGAATATTTCATACTTGTTAACTTTAAAACACAATATACAAAGACTAATATAAAAATTTTTGTTTATATTAAAAAATAATGTATATAAACAAAGACTATAGAATACCCAAGACTTGTCACTCGTATCATTTTGAATGAGGAAAATGCAACTCTCAATATGGCCGCTCTATCGAAGTAAGCCCCGCATCGCTTCATTCCCTGGGACACAATGCCTGAGAACACTCGACGACAGCCTTTGCACACAATGGGCCAGGTGGAGCGATGGACCTTCAAAACGTAAATATACATTAAAACATTTTGATGAGAATGACTCATTCTGTATACTGACACATGAACAGTATGGCTGTCAATTGATAAAAATATTTAATAATCCATTTAAATGGTTTTTTTAAAATGTACTGCATTTGTATTAATGCATTTTTTAAGGAAGCAATTTCCAAAAATGTATCACTAGGCACGCAGCAGTCAATTCATTAACATAGTTGCTTTCATAGGGAATATTTCATACTTGTTAACTTTAAAACACAATATACAAAGACTAATATAAAATTTTTTGTTTATATTAAAAAATAATGTATATAAACAAAGACTATAGAATACCCAAGACTTGTCACTCGTATCATTTTGAATGAGGAAAATGCAACTCTCAATATGGCCGCTCTATCGAAGTAAGCTTCTGAGTAAAAGAGCCCATCGCTAATCTGTGAAGTCATTCTATGAAGTCATCAAGCACTGGCTGCTCTAGCCTTAATAATAAGCTTTTTTTAACGCTATTTGAGCAAAAGAAACAACATTTATAAGACAGTCGTTTGTCAGATTTCATTGGCGATTTCAAATATGAAATTTAATCGTAAGCTTGGTGAACAGTTTTGCAGAATTTGATGTTTCCCCATTCAAAGAGATAAGAGCTGCACTTGCACGCCCGAGAGGCATTTCAAAGATGGCTGCCGAGTAACATGATTTGCCATAAAGGGACTTTGATATAAATTATATAAATATCAAAATAACATACTTTATTTTAAATGTAAGCAATTGTAAAATTCTTTGCCAAAGTTCTGTAAAACTGTGATTGGTGCAAATGGAGGATTCTTCAATTAACAATTCAATCATATAAATAAAAGAATTTAAAAAAAAAGAATGTTTTGACATTAAGGCACTCACTATAACAACTGTAATACAACAATAACAGTAATACACTAAAATTCTGACCAATGCAATGTCATCTTATATAGTGTATGTCACAATTTAAACTATATTATCAGCCAGCGATATATTTAAAGTTGGATATCAGTGCAGGGTAGTAACTGATTACATGTAACCTGGATTACATAATCAGATTCCAAAAATTAAGTACTTGTAATTAGAGTATTTTACATTTTAAAATGATCGTAATCCGATTACAGTTACTTTTTATGGATTACATGATTACATATTATTCACAAAATGGCAGTGAATTATTCATAATTTATTGATTCTCCCTAATTCTTTTTTCTCTTTTAAAATTTCCTTTCTAAAAATCCTACTGTGTTATACCATTTAGCTTTGCCTATATTCACAAAGGTCATATAAATAAATCCGCAAACCATGCTTCTGAATTTGATGGAAAATAGCATCTCTCAAGCAATTAGACCAAGTATGAAACAAATAATTAAGTCTGGACAAAAATATTTTAAATCTGGGAGACTTTAGCGGTGCAATGTCATTGTTTTCATGTTCATTGATATTTGTTCATATAATGCAGGGATTCCCAAATTCGGTTTTGTCAACAAACCCCTTAAAATATTTACTTGAAATATCTCTGAGGAAGTTATTATTTCAATATTTTAACAACATATTTGCATGTTTACAGTTCTCTGATGGATAATGGGCTCTGATGGATAATGGTAAAGAAATCAAATATTTCTATGTTTAGCCTAGTGTTCAAGGGTTTAAATAATTTTTATGATTTAATTAATTATTAGCTTTTTATCAACTCACAAACCCACTGCAGTTCTTACATTATGCCCAGTTTGGGAAACCGTGGTTTAATGTAATGTTTAATGCATTTTATGATGTTGATATCAAAAAATGGAATATATATCTCTTTTTTTCATATCATTATGGTTTGTTTGATGATAAGGTAAAACAGATTTAAAAAGGTAAGTACAGCAACAGGATTACTGTGTATTTAACACTGACTCTTGCTCATGTTCTTATTTCATCTTGTCTCTGTAGAACAAAAACAAACTTGACTTATAGCAAGTTGGGTTAAATGAGTGCAATACTTTTAATGCAGTTAAACATTAACCTCACAAGCAAAAAATTTACCTTTTGCTGCTCTACAGCAACACATTCAGATATTTCCCAAGTTATGAAGACTTACGGAAATGGCATGAGTGCGCAGATGTTCTTGTCGTGTGAAACGTTTGCCGCAGACCTCACAAGGATACGGCCTTTCTCCTGTGTGGCAGCGGATGTGCCTCTTCAAAATGCCCTTCTGTTTGGCCGTGTATGGGCAGAACGGACATTTGTGCAGCCTCCCTATAGAAACACACATATATTACAACACAATTCAAAAAACGATTCTCTGCATCTGACTATGCCAACTTCCATAATTCCATACATACAGCAGAAGAAAAACAGTATGTGAACCAAGAAGTATGTCCGAATTCATATTATACATAAACAGTAGCCAAAATGTTCCCGGATGAATTACTACTTTCTGTGAGATTCTGAAGTGTGCATGTGATGACACTATACTATCCCATGAGGCCACGGGAGAGGATTTATGAATGACAGTCAAGTGACGCAACTGATGCCGGAGCTCACACGACAGTGCAAACATGCATGTAGTACATCCGAATTTCATTCCTACTACACACATTCATACTATATAGAACATACTTCTTTTAACATTCCTGAAGCAAGTTTCAAAAACTAAATGTAGTACCTATTATGCGATTTTGGACACAGCGATTGTTCTACTGTAGCAATTTTATTCAGCATCTCTCACCTGGATCATCCCCATACCAGTCATTCTGAATCTCCATCCCACAATGCACCGCAGGACCGAGCACATCGTCGCCACGGCCGAATCCACCAACGTACCCCAAACTTTGGGAAAAGTGTTCATCGCGGTTTGGGTTCATCCCGGCTCTGAACAGCACATCTGGAAACTGCTTCATCGGGCAGTTAGCAAATGATACGGAGGAGTGCTCAGTACTTGGAGCTGGGCTAGTGTTAACAGTTATCTCCTCGTCCTGATTTGGCCCTTGATAAAGAGTGGTGTCTTTGGATTCCCGTGAAGATTCGCCCTCCTCATCAGGGTCATACTCTATTTTGGGATGCACCAAACCTAGAAGCAAACCTGGGGTGGATGAGTTGACTAAATCTGGGCCTGGACTGATCTTCAGTGGAGCATTCATGGGAGGATGGTTGGGAAAAGCTCCTTGGGAGTTTTCGCCTTCGAAGTCTTTACTACTTGTGGCCGCTGGCGTGCAGACAGCAGCCGTTGGAGCGTCATCAGGGCTGAGGGCCTCGGTGACCTGACAGGTCCTTTGGTCGGCATCGGAAGTGGATGCCACAGGAGCACTAGTGGCTGAAACTGGGTTTTCACTATCATCCAAGTCTTTAGGTCTATCCCTCTCCCTGTTACAGATCTCCAAGGAGGATTTGATGTAGCCCTTGCAAAAGTTCACCACGTCAGTCATCTGAAGGTAGCTCGCAGCTGACATTATTTCAATGACATTGTTGCTGCGCAGGTCCAGGCGACCCGAATACAGAAAGTCTAGGATGAAGGAGAATGCCTCAGCTGTGACGATGTCCAGAGAGGCCGTGCTGTGTCGCTGGCCATTGTCCTGCAGGTAATGCACCAGCAGTCCCCGAAAATAACCACTGCTGGCGAAGAGAATATTACGATGTGCTTTAAAAACACGTCCCTCTACTATGATGCTGCAGTCACAGAAGAAGTCCCTTTTACGCTGTTCATTCAGCTCCGACAAGAGCCGGGACAGGTAGGAAGGAACCTCCATATTCACTGTATTACAGCCATGCGTTTCTCTGGAAGAACAGAGGTGAACGAATGAATCGGATCACGAGAAAGCCATGCTATGAAATAATTCTATATTCTCAAACTGCTATAACCTTCACAAAGAGATAAAAAAGAGGGTGACCAGACGTCCCCATTTTCCAGCGACCTGGTTTTTGGTGTCCTGAACACAGTAATGTACCCATTTTGTCACACATCTTAACTATACCACATGGGTAAAAATAAACTACGATATGGAAAAAAAAAAAAAAACAACAACTAAACAAATCACACTTTACAAAAATTACATTCGCAGAAAGCACGTAATTTGTGCTTTGAGCCTAAAACATCATAATATTTTTGACCCAAAAACATCATAATAATTATATACGGAACCCACAACAATTCAAAAAAATAAAATAGAATAAAAATTAGGCATAATGCACATAGGCCTAAATACATTCTCCTATTCTCTCATTTTTAATTAACAGATATTGATACAGTTGTGGTCAATTTTACATAAACTTTGCAGTATCTGCAAAATGTTTATTATTTTACCAAAATAAGAGGGATCATAAAAAATGCATGTCATTTTTTATTTAGTACTGACCTGAATAAGATATTTCACATAAAAGACGTTTACAAATAGTCCACAAGTGAAAATAATAGTTGGATTTATAAAAAATTACCCCGTTCAAAAGTTTACATGCTTGATTCTTAATACGGTGTTGTTACCTGGATGATCCACAGCTGTTTTTTTCCTCCATGAGTCCCTTGTTTGTCCTGAACAGCCGCTGTTCATCAGAAAAATCCTTCAGGTCCCACAAATTCTTTGGTTTTCCAGTATCTTTTGCATATTTGAACCCTTTTCAACAATGACTATGATTTTGAGATCCATCTTTTCACGCTGAGGACAACTGAGGGATTCATACGCTACTATTACAGAAGGTTCAAACGGTCACTGATGCTCCAGAAGGAAAAACGATGCTTTAAGAGCCAGGGGTGTAAACTTTTTGAAATTGAAGATCAGAGTAAACTGAACTTATTTTGTCTTCTGAGAAGCATCTAAGCATCTTCTGTAGCTTCTGAAGGCCAGTACTAAATGAAAAAATATGATATTTAGGCAAAATAAGACAAATCTTTATTCGGTTCAAAAGTTTCTGTTCACACTTAATGCACTGTTTTTCCTTTTAGAGCAGGGTCAATTTAAATTCCTGGAGGGCCGGATCAGTTGGATCACGTAGGTGTTTAATAAGGGTTGAATCTAAACTCTGCAGGGCTCCGGCCCTCCAGGAATTGAGTTTGACACCCCTGTTTTAGAGCATCAGTGAGCATTTGAACCTTTTGCAATAGTTGCGCATGAGTCCCTCAGTTGTCTTTAGTGTGAAAAGATGGATCTCAAAATCATACAGTCACTGTTGAAAAGGGTTCAAATACACAAAAGATGCTGGAAAACCAAAGAATTTGTGGGACCTGAAGGATTTTTCTGAAGAACAGTTTAACTGGTCAGGACAAACTAAATCACAAAATCAACAAAAAAACTAAATAAATAAGTAAAAACAGCTGTGGATCATCCCGGTAACAACACTGCATTAAAAATCATCAAGCATATGTAAACTTTTGAACGGGGTCATTTTGATAAATTCAACTATTATTTTCTCTTCTTATGTGATATATATTTTTCAGGTCAGTGCTAATTAAAAATAACATGCATTTTGCATGATCCCTCTTATTCTGGAAAAAAAAACAAAACATTTTGCAGATAGGCTAGGCTTACGGCAAAATGTAGCATTTTGACCACAACTGTAAATTTTGACCAGTTTCCATTTCAGAAGTCTGGCCACATTAAGATTATATATGGACTATATAGCCTACCAATGCCAAATTGTTCATTCATGCAAAATACACCATACAAACATTTAAGGTGGAACATATCACTGTCACAATAATATCAAAACCAAATCGAACTCGAAAAACAAAAATGCGATTATGACAATCGTCATGTTTTACACAGCAATGATTTTTAGCTATGAGCGAATTATAGGAAGCAGCAGCGAGCAATAAGGGGGGGGGAAAGACACTGCATCGTAACAAATCCAGCGCACTCGAAACAGCTTTAACAAAATTACTATTAACCTCGAATGCTGAAAACTCATTCGTTTATACTTACATTTAGGTGTCTGTTTGGTTGTTCTTCATGGTGGTCTTTTAAAAATGTCTCCCTGATTGACTGCTTCCTGATTCCTACGTACTTCCTTTCGCTGCCATAGCTGCGGGCGGGGTGTTAGAAATCGCTCCCTATTCCCTATATAGTGTACTGCGTCGGATGTCGGCCATTCGTTCACTGGTGTACACTTGTCGAAGCACAATTGCCAAAAATTCAACGCGAGAGAGACAGCGCGAGTGAGTTCGACCGGGATATGCAGTTAGCAGCCCTGTTCCTATGTCCCCAGGGTCCTATGTTCCCACATAATGAACTTAGGTTAAATTAAGTTAGGTTAAGTAATGGTCAGGGGTTAAAGACCCCCCATGCTGGCTATAGTTTTAATAACTTTTTTCTTGAATCATTTCTTGATTAAAGCAATATTAGGTTAAATTAAATGAAAACTGAAAATGAAATAAAACTGCATATGGTAATAGCCTACAGATTTTTTTTTTAAGCATTAACTTTTATAGTTAATGACAAGTGATTTCTCTCATCAGTAACTAATTCACTGAGGTGGCAGTATGCTCACAAGACTGTAGTCGATGATCAAAAGTGTTCAGTAATCATCTAGCCTACACCCTGTCTCACCTGTTTTATGCCTATTCATGCCTGCGTGTGTGTGTGTGTGTGTGTGTGTGTGAGAGAGAGAGAGAGAGAGAGAGAGAGAGAGAAGCTAGATAGTAGTGCAGTAAAAAATTTTAGATTACTTTTTTACAGTAACTTTTCTCTCTACTCGATTGATGTGGTCTAATATATGTATGTCAAGGCAGAACTTAATATTTTAAAGGAAATGTTCACTCAAAAATAAAAAAAAATCCTCATGTTGTTTCAAACCTGTATGACTGCGAAAGTAGATATTTTATTAAAGAATGTCTTTGTCCATGTAAGTTAGTGGGGTCCAAAAGAACATTGCCAAGCATGTTATTAATGTACCATCACATTTGATTTGGACTCTCTATAGATGAGTTAATAGTGCATACACCAGTTTTACAGTGTGCATACAGTGTACTGTGATTGTGATATTCATGGTGTCAAAAGTGCTGACTGTATGAGTCAATGTACTCATGACTTAAAAGATTTGCTAACTCACTTGGATCCTGTTCTGCAACTTTCCTGTATTTCTTTACTGTCCCATAAAGAAAAGCAAAAACACATCTAAATTATTAAATTATTTATGCTCTTTATCCCCTCCATATCATTACTATACTATGACAAAACAGACAAAAAACAAAAAAACAAGGCAACGAAGAAAGTGCAATAAACACTATCACCAGATGAGGGAGCAAAATCCCTGAAACAGTTGGCACTGCCAAGAGCTTCAACAAGTGCACATTTACACCGCTGTTACACAGATGACAAGGTGATGAACAGCACTTTCATGAGAAGTAGTTTATTTTTCAGAGTAGTGGTTGACCACCATTGTGGGGGCACGATGACAACCTCACATCTGCTCTGAAATAGATCCCGTTCTGAGTGACGACTGATGTCTTCACAATGCCCATATCCTAACATGCCCCTACTGCCAGCTCATGTGCCTACCCCCATTGTCTGCTATGGAATGTGTGTTTGTTTGCTCTCTTTAGCCCCAAAATAGCTGTTTTTTAACATTTGGACCAAGATAAAACAAACATGCAGTTCCTTCAGGCTGCACCGCACCCATGCATCACAATCCACAGCACACGAAAGTGATTTTTAACACTGATGGGTCACCGGGTGAGTTATTTGTTTGCAGAATTTTCCCATGGTAAAGCCACAGAGCACAAAGGCTTCATGGTGGCCCCTCTAAACCGCAGGGTAGGCGAGTGGACATAAGTCGCCATACACCCTCTTTGAAAAGAAAAATATAGCACCTCATAAAACTCTATTCACCCTTATAATTCCTATATACAAACCAGAGTGTGTTGTCCCCGAATCCTGTAAACTTGAAACTACCTTGAATCAAATGCTCAGGCTTCAAGTTGGAGTGTCCCCCAAAACAGCCAAAATTAGTGCTTTTGATTCAGCTTCTTTTTTTTTTTTTGCCATTCTCAGATCTCATAAGGTATTCCTTATTAGGATATATATTAAGACTGGAGGATGCAAGTGAATATTTTCCTGTCATCTTTAGCAAAAAGACAATGTGCTGTTTCATAAATATGACTGCTGAAAAATCAGAGGCCTGTTTCAGAAAGAAGATTAAGTAAAAACTCTGAGTATGTTAACCCTGAAATGAGGGAAACTCTGGGTTTTCTGTTTCAGAATGAGAGGTATGTCAAACCTGAGAAAGCATGTAAGTCATGCCCATTTCTGAAAGACAGGTAACTTATTCTCAGAGTCAGTTACCATGGTAACTCACTCTGTGAATCTAACCTGGGATGCGTTTCCCAAAAGCAACTATGGTCGCAAGTTCTGTCGTTACCAATTGAGTTCAAAGGAACTTGCGACCATAGTTAGCTAACGATGTAAACAAACCCCTGGTTGGGAGCAGATTTTCTTCAGTAAACCCAGCTTCTCCTCCCCCTTTTTAAAGCGTAAGCGATGTTTAAATACCTCATTCATTCATGCTGCAAAAATGCTTTACTTACTGCAAATTTTTGTCTTACTTCAAGTACAAATATCTAAAAATTCTTAAATCAACATGCATTTCTATATAAGAAAGACAGTGTAGATTTGTTTCCAATTGTTTTAGCAGTGCAGGTACATTCATTCATATTTTCATCATGCAGACACCATCAAAGTGACAAAATCTAATGTCCTTTTATATAGGATCCTGTAAATGAAGAGGCTGCATTAATTCTGGAAGTATGACAAAAAAAGCAAAATATCTAAAAATTCTTAAATCAACATGCATTTCTATATAAGAAAAATGACTGTAGATTTGTTTCCAATTGTTTTAGCAGTGCAGGTACATTCATTCATATTTTCATCATGCAGACACCATCAAAGTGACAAAATCTAATGTCCTTTTATATAGGATCCTGTAAATGAAGAGGCTGCATTAATTCTGGAAGTATGACAAAAAAAGCACCTTTTTGTCGGGTGCTGTTGCCATGGTGAATCGTAATTTCGGAGCTTCATTGATCATGGCTTTTCATAGCCTTGATGCACTCAGAGTCAACCTACTCAGAGTGAACTAACTCAAATCAGCTGTTCTTAAACCGAAATCTCAGCGTTTCCCATCTCAGGGTGAGTTAACTCGAGTTCAAGTTTTAACTCAGAGTTTGTTGAACCTCCTTATTGAAACGGGCCCCAGCTTGCCATCACAGGAATAAATTAAATTTTAAAGTATATTAAAATGGAAAACAGTTTTTTAAAATCATAATAGTATTTTATAATGTTACAGTTTTTACAGTACTTAAAAATAAATATACTAAAATGTATTTGAAATACATTTATTTCATGCTAAGTATAAATACATTGGCATATTTATGTACTTAATAAAAACACCCTGCAATTGTACATTTGATATACTAATGGTACACTTAAAGTCTGCTAAATTGGAACAACTAATTGTGTACTTAATGCACTTTAATTGTGTGGGAGTAGTGCTGAAATCCAACTAAAGATATACTTAAGTATATTTGATTGTGCTGAAGTGGAACTATGGCAAGTATACTTTGGGTACACTTTAAATATCATGCATTTAAAAAACTATATTATTCAAAGATCATACAATCATCATCAATAGTGACATTAAAACACATTTTAGGCTTAATATTAAGAAATGTGCATTGTGCACAGTAGTACTCCAAATAATTATAATTTTTATATTAATTATATTAATTATGCTTAATTATATTTTTATATCAGTAAGTCTCGAGCGATATGTCAGTAAATATATTAATAGATTTGAACTATACTTATTATGAAATAAATGTATTTTATATATTACTTTTTTACTAGGGTTGTGATCAAATAAATAAGAGACTTCCCAGACTCTCTTATTTATAATAATATAAGACACTTCATTCAAAAACTTTAAAAAAAACTTGGAGTTTGACATCTCCTGGTCAGTGGTCACTATGAATACTGCTGTACGATTACAAAAAAATCTTCAAAAAATAAATAAATAAAACAAACTAAATAAATAAAAAATGTAAATTAACGGAACAGAATAGGATTGGAATTGGAATATGAAAATATAAATTATTATAAAATATAATAATTATATAATTTTCTTTTTAGGTCAACTATTCTATTACCTACTCCCTAGTTCTGTCAATAAAACACAATGAGAGAGCAAAAGTATTATATTATGACTTATGTATGTATGATAATCTGGGTCTACTGTTTACTATTTTCCTGCTTAACACTGTAAAGCTGCTTTGACACTATTGTACAAAGCGCTATATAAATAAAAAAGGTGACTTGACTACAAGGCATTAAACTCTATTCATCCTTGTAACTCCTATATATGTTTTCCAAATATTGTACAGTTAAACAACCTAGAATCAAATGCTCAAATAAACTCATGCTTCAAGATGGAGCCTAAAAGAACCAAAATGAGTGCTTTTGATTCAGTGTTTCTGGATGTGTCATAAATATGGCAGGAGACTTTATGTTTTGTGCCATTCTCAGACATCCTAGGTGCTCCTATACATATAAAGATTGAAGCATGCAAGTGAAAATTTTCCTGTCATCATATGCAAGGAGGCAGACAGTGTGGTTTGATGGCATGCTTCGGCACCGAGCGGGGCAAAGAGCTGCTTTTTCCCAGGCGTAGATGCACACCACAGGGATATTTAGAGCCACAGAAGAGCACTGATTAAAGAGAGAGACAATGGGGAGAGACTGCCATGACATGGTGGCATTTTCCACTCCCGAGAGCTGCCTCTCATGGGTGCAAAAACTGTGCCGTGAAACGTTTGAGTTATCCCAGAATGTCAGGAATTTGTTTTGTGGCACCAGCGCAGACCCCTCGCACATTGATCACAAGATGTGAGACACCGCCTTGACTGTCTCTTTTGTGTGCATGTGTGTTGTGGGCGGGTGTGTTTGTTTGAGGTGGAACGGTCATAATACACCACAAAGGGTCTGGAGGATCTAGACATCTGATGGGGGGTGTAGTTGGGGGTCTTGGTGATATGATACTAATTTTGGGGGCCCTAATAGGACCGGCGCCCCTCTGCAGTCTGAAGACACCACTCTTCTCTGTAGTCAGAAAGGAAATCTTGTCTCTCTGTAATTACCACTTAATGTTCTTGTGTCATTCGGAGACGATGTCTCATTGTGCCTTCGTTTTCTCTCCCAGGCTGATG